CAGGGCTGGACTTGAAGGCTAGGTTTCGCTCTTGACCCCATTCCTTACCAATTCTATGACCATGCAAAAATCAGTCTTTGAAAGCCTCAGTTTCTTGACCTGCAAAATGGAGATACTAATTTTGATCTAGAAGGAACCTTAGAAGCATAGATCCAGATGTGGAAGGGATCCTAGAAGTCATCTAGTTCAACTCCCTCATTTTACAAATGAGGAAATTGAGGCCCTGAGAGGGTAAGTGACTTACAGGCAGGTAGTAAATTACAGGAGGCAAAATTTGAACATGGAACGTCTGACTCCTAACCAGGTGCTCTTTCCACTGCACCATACTGTCTCATGAGACAGCTAGATGACTCAGTAGATAGAGTGCTGGGCTAGTAAAAACTAGCTGTGCGACCCTGGGCAAGTCACTTAATCCTGTTTGCTTAGAAGACAACTAGGTGGCTCAGTGCATAGAACACTGGCCCTGGAGTCAGGAAGACCTGAGTTCAAATCTGGCCTCAGACACCTACTAGCTGTGTGACTCTGGGTAAGTCACTTAACTTCTGTTTGCCATAATCCTCTGGAGAAGGAAATGGCACACCACTCCAGTATCTTTGCCAAGAAAACACCATGGACAGTATCGTTCACGGGATCACAAAGAGTCAAGACATGACTAAAAGACTAAACAACAACATATGGTCTCATAATCCACAGCCTAGCTGCCTTCCTAGAGTATTGTAATAAAAGTGCTTTGTGAACTTTAAAGCATCACATAAATGTGTGTTCTGCTTAAATGTACATAGACATACATATAAATTAGAATTATCACCAGAGCTACTGATAAGCACCATGGAATAGTGGATAGTCTCAAAGCTTGGAAAACTTGGGTTCGGTCTTGCCTCTGATACATAATCAACATGATCCTGGACAAGTCACAACTTCTCCAAGTTATAGATCACTCTCTGACTTTATGCTTCACAGAAGATGCTGATGCACTTTGGAAGAGGGAGCTTTCTCACTAGTTGTTTCCCTCAATGAAATCCAGGTCCTGTCTTACCCACCATTGCAATAAGCCGATGATAAATAATTATTTCACAGACCATTCTTTACAGTCATGGTTGTTCAGCTTACTTCACTTAATGAGGGGATACCTGAGGAAAGCCATTATTTTCTTGTTTCAGTTTGTCCTAAAATGCTAAAACCTGGAAGTGTTTTATGGGAAGCTAGACTTTCAGATATAACTTATTTCTGCAGGAAGGAGGAGATTATAAAAACAATTTGAAATCATCCCACTGTCTCAGATGTTGATTATAACTTGGATTATTATAGTCTTTCCATCTCCATTGGCCTAATTCCAAGACCTAAAAATCTATAGCAAGCATGCACATGTCCTTGCTATATTATCTTTATTGGTACATATGATCTATTTGGATATAAAGTACTGCTATAACTACTAAGTAGCTCTTCATTTCTTGAGTCATAATCTAAACTTCCTTGTTCCAAAAGGTTTTACCGTAGCAATGGAACCAGCCCCAACACCAAACCCTAATCTCCTCATAAATTCTATGTTCATGATCCATGTTTCGTTGTATCCAGATATGATCAAGTTTATATATACTTTTTTAAAGAATCAAATAATCCCTTGGAGGAATGTTAAGGTCAGACACTACGCAATGAGACAGTGAACCGAATTTGATTTCACTTTATGTCAAAAATAAATGCACTGTCAGTGACTCAGTACTGGCTGTATACCCTGTGACTAATTTAGACCACTATAAATTAAAAGTTGACAACAGCTATAAAACTGTTTCCATTTCCAACAATGAAGCTCGAATTCCTACCCACTGTTCATCAGCAAACAATTCATGTGAACATAGAAAATAGAAATAAGTGGTCTTAAGAAGAACTGTGGTCATGATAAAGGTGACCAAGTGCCAGGATTGGGGCTTTATTTCAAAGAAGATAAAATTATTTTATTTGGAGTATTTTTAAAGTAGTGTTTAAATTCATGATTAATAATCAGCAAGCCTAGATGATGCTAAAAGTCTTTGACTATTTAAATATCAACAAGTTTGCTTGATGGAAATTTTGAAGTGGAAAATTTTAATGAGTAAAGTTCATAAAAATCATGATGTTGGAAATGAAAATTTAACAAATACTTCACGCACATGTTAAAATATATGTGGAACATACATATACATATATACATATACAGATAGATGGATGGATAGATAGACAGATAGATAGATAGACAGATAGATAGATCCACATGTATATACAAAATAGAGTCAGTTTGGTATAGTAGACAGACAGCCAGCCTCAAAACAAGGTAGATATGGGTTCAAATCCCTTCTCTGACATGTATATGACCTAGGCAGGTTGGTCATACTATGGCTATAGTAGATGTTTCAGATGACCTGAGCTTGAACCCTTCTTTAGATATTGAGCTGTGTAACTATGGGAAAGCCAAACTTTTCTAAACCTCAGTTTCACCATATGTGAAATGAATGAGTTGGACTCTATAACCTCTAAAATTCATTCTAATTCTAAATCTATGATCCTATGCTCCTTAGGCAATACACCACTTCTCCATATTCAAAACAACTTTCTCTAACTATAAGTTGCACAGACAATGACATATGGCATCAGTAAAAATAATTTCTTTCATTGGGGAGTACCCTCTCTCAATGAAATCATAAATACAGTCTCTATCCCATGTACAACACAATAATCTATATTTCATTGTTTATATTTGCACTCCAACAAATTATAAATATTATGATCTATGGGAAAAGAATGAAAGCTTTTCTGAGAAAACAATTATCTTAATACATATTCCACCAAAAAAAGAGAACCGAGGTTTATCGTGAATGATATATTTACCCCCTTGGTTTTAAAAATTAATTCCTATATAATCATGAGGTAAATTGGGACTTATTTGAGATGGGGCAATAAAACTGTCATTTTCCAGTTAACTGAGTCAGAGGAATTAAAATGAAATGAATGAATGAGTCACAGATACAGGAAGCATGGAAATAATCTCATTTCATCAAGGCTGAAAGAATTATACAGCAGAGAAGAGAAATGTTCCTCCCAGAACAGGTATAGAGAAAAGATAGAGCTTTCTGGGATTATTTGATACCATCACTAATACAAAGATCTACGATATCGGTTTCTCTCACTGAAGTTTGTCTGTGATAAGGTTGTAGAGGGAGAGTGAAGAGTTGAGGATGATACCAAGGTTATGAATGTGGGAGACTGGAAATATAGCTGGGCTCTGGAGAGGAAATAGGAAGTATGGTAGAGGTGAAACTTTACAGAAAAGATGAGTTCCATTTGGAATCTGTGCAGTGTTAGACGCTATTGGTACATTCAGGTAGAGGAAGCCAGCAGGCAATTAAAGGTAAAAGACTAGAAGTAAGGAGAAAAATTAATGCTGGATATATAGATTTGGAAATCATCTTCATAAAGAATTTGATAACTCACAGAAACTGATGAGGTCGCAGAGAGAGGATATGCAGAGAGAAGAATAAGGGACCCAGAGCAGAGTCTTAGGGTATTTCCGCAGCTAAGGATTTCAGAAAATGTGTGATGATTTGTCAAAGTGATGAAGAAGAAGAAGCAATTAGAAAGGAGAAGAACCAGTAGAGACTAATATTATGGAAGTGGAATGTGCAGGAGGGTAGGTTGGTCAACAAGGTCAAAAACTACAGGAGACCAGAAGGATGGGAGAGTAGAAGTAAAAGTCACAGAATTAACAATTAGGCAATTATTGGTCTTAAAGTATCAAGTTTCTTTTAAAATACAGAAGAGATAGATTCATATGGATATGGAGATACAATATCTGACATATTTGGGTTCAAATCCTTTCTCTTACACATTCTTATAAAATAGTCCTTCAAGCAGGGGCTCCTTTCGTTTAATGGTCTGGTGAAGTCTATGAACATCTCAGAATAATGTTTTTAAATGCATAAAATAAAATATGTAGGAATACCAAAGAAAATCAATTATAATGAAATGTAATTGCTAAAATATTAAAGAAAGAACAAGTTCATGGGCATCAGGTTAAGAACCTTTGTCTTTAAAGGGATTGATGATAAACCCTACTCTTTCCTTTGTAAACTCAGAGATATGATCCTGGAGAAAAGTTCTAGGAACCAAATCTGAAAACAACTTCTACAGGAGAGACTGGCAACCTTTATTTCACATGCCACAGATATCTGAAAGGAAGATTTTTCGTGATGTAACACTTGGGAATGTAAAGAGAGGCTCTCTTCCACGATTGCCTTTCTCCCAATTAGAGAACACAAACTGAATAAATTACATCCTGCAGACCATCCCATCTTGGGTGTTGTGCATGCTTGTATGTTAGGCAATTTGAGGCTTAATAAGTTATGGTATCTACAACCAAACCAACTCTGATGGCTTGAGTTAGATGAATGACTTGCAGTGCTATAAATACAAATGTTTATATCCATGGCAAGTGCCATTGACCCCCTGGCATGTGGCCAAAAGCACACTCAGTTTGGCTGGGGGGGGGAGGGGGGACAGAGATTCCTAGAAATTGGTTTGAGGCTAATATTGCAGGGTAGGGAAGTCGAGTAGGAGAAAGAGCTCACACCAATCCACTTTCTGGTACCTACTCAATGTTCCCACACTGACGAGATATGGGAATCCATTGAAGTCGAGAAATTTGTTTCATTTTTAAATTGTCCTCTAAGCTATATGACAGGGAATGTTTATATAAATAGTGCTAGATTCTTACTCTTCCCTCCTTTCTCTTGTTTTCTCACCTTTCCCGGCTTCCTTCCTTCCTCCCCTGCAACGTTGCTCCATTACTACGTGAACAGATTGGAAACTTGCCTAACTTGCATATTTAGTAGGTGATTATATCAGAAAGAAATGAGCATCAAAATGTTTTCATTTAAAATGGGGTTAGGATGAGTAATACATAAGAGAAGGATGTTTAAAATAATTTTTACAATTGTGAGATACATTCATTTTGCACAAATAAAAATTACCTGTTTCATGTAATGTACTGGCATTGCATATTTCCTCTTTTCCTTCCCCAGCAGATGTAGAGGCTTGTATTTTAAACACATAAGGAGTATTTGATAGAAGTTCTTTGAAATTGTACATATGCTCTTGTGAAGCCATTTTTGTAGAATTCCTTTCAACCGTTATGATATAATGTGTAATTATTCCATTTGCCTTTTTAGGGGGATCCCACTTGAGTAGAATTGACTGCCAACTGGTGGCAGTACAATGAACATTCTGAACAACATCTGGAACTTAAAAGATAAACAAGTATCAAAATATCACATATTAAAAGAGGAGTTACCACATTATAGTATAGTTCAGTCTACATACATACTATTTGGGTGTATGGTTAGAGAATATTGTAATGGAAAAAAAATCCTTTCATTACATTCTCAGGTAAAGGGTTTTGGGTCCATTCATTTAACATGATGACTGTGGCAATAAATGCTGATAAGGCACTTATATCAGCAGGTAAAAAAGATCAAGAATATATTTGAAATCACTTCTGGATAGGGTATAGATGAAAAGTAGTTTAGCTTAACTTGTAGCATGTACAAAACCATGATGTAACAGTCAAATTATTAATCTACTTATATTCTATAAGCTCTTACCAGATGTCTTAACTGGTAAGAAATGGAAAACTGGAATGCTTAAATGAATTACTGGCTTATTTTTAACCATTATCATTCATGATAACCCCTCATCTTCTTCCTCCTCCCCCCACACTGCAAAAGGGCATATACATATTGTTATTGTTCTTTTAAATAAATCAACTCGTTAAAAATGACCACTGATAAGACTTCCCCTCTTTCTCATCTAGCTGCCTCTAATGGTTCTATGATTTACCTACTTCTGGTAGCTAACTTTGCTTCCCAAACAAATCCCTAATTTCAACCATCTCATTTCAAAAGGACGAATAAACATGTTATTTCAAACATCCAACAGTAAGACCTAGCTTATCGTGCAGCACTGAAATTCTTAGCGGACTAGAGAATATTGGTGTTTTGTTATGTTAATTGAAAAAAAAAGAAAAATGGTTAATACAAAATGAAACATCTGTAGGTTCAGAAAACTGTCTAACCTGATTCTTGTGTTGTGAATAGCACAATATTACTGAAATGATTGCCATTTCCAACTCTTGTAAATGCTGATACACTAACTGAATAGGCAGTGATTGGTTCCAATCCAACAATTTTAGCTTCAGTTTGAAAACCGGAAATGTTCTGAGAAGAAAAAAAAAAACCCTACCACTTAGCAAATGTTTAATATGGAAATAAACTCTTTATATGTGGACTAGGAGACTTTTTTTACAAATTAAATAATATCATTTTATAACACATAATTCAAAAGTCAGTTTTTTAAAATCAGAAAAGCCTTCATTAAGAGATAAGAGTTGGATATTTTAGACTCACCATTTCTCTGTGTTTCTTGTTCAAGCTATGTGAAAGATGTGATTTTGGTAAACACTAGCTCCCCTAAATTTGATTTGTCTTTAAAACCTAGCTCTCATCTCAGAGAGCCTTTTCTGTCTTCCATTATCGTGATTTATTCTATCCTTCACAGTACATTTGATACTTATAGGCCAGATTTGAGCTTGGTCTTCTTTCTTCCAGGACCAGCACTCCATCTACTATACTGCCATTCTGGACATTTACCTAACCATCATTATTTGTCAAGGTTGGACATGAAAAAGGGAAATTAACAAAATCAACAAAAAGTGGCCAAAATGACTTGAAAAAAGATAAATCCAGGGATGTGTTGGCACCAGCTCATGAAAGATGTCAGAATTGATTGTTAAATATTTCAGTGTGAGCATTTATACCTTAAAAATTGGCAAATCCTGCCATTCAGTGCTCGATATATTCTTGTGTTGATTTTCTAGACTTTAGAAAGTGATGGAGAAAATGTTAATAATGAGGATTAAACTTCAAAGTATGTCATAGGCAACCTTTCCTTATTTTTCCCCCAAAGATCAATACCACAGAACTGGTTGTTAATAAATGCTTTGGGATTAATCAAACCAAATCCTGCAAGCATTTATTAAGCACCTACTATAGCAATGTATTGCACTAGGGATACAAAAAACGACAACAACAAACCAAGATGGAAAGTTTCACCACTATAGTGTAGAGAACTTTCCTAAACAAAGAGTGAAGAAGAGGACGTAGTATTCTAAAGCTTTCTGCATACTGTATCTTGGCAGAGGAATAAATCAATCAATCAATAAACATTTATTAAGCACCTACTATATATATGCCAGGAACTGTGCTGCTAAGTGTTGGAGATTCGAAAATAGGCAAAAGACAGCCTATGTCCTCAAGGACCTTACAAACCAATTGCATGGAATATTTTTAAGGGCATCAGAAATGCTCATTTGCCTAACATATCAACCACTTTAGCTTATTCCGTATGTAAAGTCTCACCATTAGAAATACATTATTTTACCAATCATGAATCAGGTATCCATGAGATTTTTTTTGCCAATGTTTTCATTCATTCAGGCAGTCAATAAATATTTATTAAAGTCATACTATGTGTAAGATACTGCACTAGGTATTGTGGAGAGTGTAAAAATGAATAAGAAACATTCTCTACTCTCAAAGAATTTACAATTCAATAGAGATAAGATATGCACTCAGCATCTGAATGAAAAAGAATAGTACACAAGATAGGTAAGTTCTGATAAAAGGAGAGAGGGGAACATGGGCCTCACATAAATAAGGCTAGCATAAGAACACTGGGTACCTGAAAGAGAAGTCATAAAGAGAGAAAAATGTTAAGAGGGATCCAAAGTAGAAATGATTTTTGGCTTTCCTTTTTGAGTTAAAGGAACATTTAGAATAACTGCAATGTTTGCTATGAGACTAGAAACGTTTCTTACTTAGAATCTTGAAGATCCAACTGGTTAGCATTTGACAGCTATTATTTTTATCCTGAAATCTTTAAGTGAGAAAGCCCAAAAGTAAAGAAACAAGGAAAGGGTTTTCTGTTGTTTCATTTTTAAAGGGAGGGAGTGATGAGGATGGGATCTAGACCCCAGAAAGGAAAAACCCTGGACTTTCCCACTGGGCCAAATCTCTGGCATTCCCCTGAGGCTATAATCCTATCAACCGGCCTTTCATTGTGGCTACATCCAATCTCCCAATTCTGTTAATCTAGCCTGGCCTTCCTTTGTTTTACCTCCCTATGTATGGCCCCAGGCCATTTCCCACCCTTAATCCTAGCTAGGCTCCATTCTCCCTTGGCCAGGAGGTCCAGGTCCAGGAAATTCTGTTCACCCCAGTTTACTGGGCACTCCTAGGTCCCTCCCACAGTCTTTCCATATATAAGGTCCACCTTGTCTCCATTAAGATGCTCAGATTCCTAAAATCTAGCCACTGCTTGGATTCTTTTAATCTAGCCACGGTTTAGATTCTTATAATCTAGCCAATAGCTCACTAATGTTCAGACTCCTTAAGAGTCTGCCTAATATGATGGATGCTCTAATAAACCTTGTCTTAGGCTGAAAGAAGGCTTGGGTCAAATTCTTTTGGTCAGGACCCACGTGTTGTGATTTTGGGGTCCCAGGACCCTGAACCTCTAAACCGCATCAGGAGTCTACCTTCTGAATAAAAGGAGGAATAAAAGCTTTGGGATGGGATGGATGAACCCAGACATAAGAGATAGGTCAATAAAGGGATCTAAGCAATGGGAGGTCTATGGGGCAGCACAATTCCAAAGACAATTTCACATACTTGCTTTGGATAGCACTAGACAAACTCTCAATTAGAAGAAATGTTTCTTTGATAGCCTTTTTCTTTACATTACAAAATTCCTCACAAAAAATCATTACAGAAATATGGCAGTTTTGTTTTTTTTTTATAGTGGTGAAAGTTAAATCATTTGAAATTAAGATTTTTTTAAGAAATTCTATTCCAGATTTATGCATTTTTCAGATTTTGCATGAACTTATTATTTGTTGCCTAAAGGTAAGTAAATACTGGAGATTAATGAGTCTATTTCTACTTTTTCATTCCTTATCATTATTAACTCATTTCTAGGGTACCCCCTCCTTCTTACCCCATTCTTCATTCCTGTTTACTTCACAAATCATATTAACATATGTATTGGCCTTAGAGCTATATTGGCCAAATGTATTATTTTATAGGTTAGAAAACTGAGATTATGATGGAGAGAGTGTGGCATTGAAGTAAAAAAGATCTCTGTGTCTCTGTCTCTGTGAGTGTGTGTCTTTCTCTCTGTGTCTCTCTGTCTCTCTGTGTCTCTCTGTCTATCTGTCTGTCTGTCTGTCTCTCTCTCTCTCTCTCTCTCTCTCTCTCTCTCTCCCTCCCTCCCTCCTAAAAGAGCCTGAGCCCAGACATGGGCCTCTGGCTTCTTTTGTTTTACATTCCATCCCAGAGCTTAGGTGACCAAATAGCAATCCTCAGCTAGACACATCTAGCTTTAGAGGAAACCTTATGAATTCAAGAGGTCTAAAACTTCTGATCCCTCACTCAAAGCTGACTGCCAGCATGAATGTGATGCATCTCCACCCTTGAAGATGACCACCAGCTAGAGGATGAGCCCAAGCTCAGGCCTGGTTATTCAGATGAGATAGACCTAGAGGGAATTGTTTGGACAGTACAGAACCAAGAGGAAATTTGAAATGTTAATTTAACAATTCACTAAACTGCTTCGTGTTTGGATGTCCTGGGAGTGTGTAACAGTAGTCATAAATAACTACTGTTTGTTTTTCTTTGATAATGTCTTTGTTGAGTCTCCTATGCTAAACATTTCTTTTGTGTGAAGAAGATAAATTGCTGTCCTCTACTTCATTTACAATGTACATTGATTACCTCTCAATTCTCTCATTTTTGAGGAGGCCCAAGACCTGACTCAAATTTAAACTTAAAGTGATTTTTCCTGAGGCTCTCTGAGGGTGTGCAAAGATCCAGGGACAGTGAGATATAGAGCAGGATCCATCACCTTCCAAGTGCTGACTATCCTCCCTTGGGTCTAGCCAGGGACTTATTGTTGGTCAATCAGTGAGAGCCAGAGTGATTTAGTTTAAGGGGTGGTCACTAAGAAAAGAAAAAAAAAGGCTTCTGAGATCAAAATGCACATTTCTCAGGGCAGAGCACCCTCAGGTAAAGGTATGTGGACAGAGCAGAGGAGAGAAGACAAGACAAGAGAAAGGAGCCTTGTTGCCCAAATGGAGAATTCCAGTTGGGTCTCCAGTGGGACAGCTCCTCTTTCTACTCACAGAGGTTGTTTTCTGTCCTTCATTCTCAAGGAGGATTGTGACAACAGGGAAGTGATGCCACGATATGCAAATTAATTGGATTTATGTGCCAGGGGCATCTCCAGTCATCCTGATCTATATCTGGCCACTGGCACCAGATGGCTCCAGAGGAGAAAGTGAGGCTGGTGGCTTTGCACAGCCCTACCTCACTTAAATCCAATTCACCTGCATGTAATGGCATCACCTTCCTGATGTCATGGTCCTCTTTGAGAATGAAGGACAAACAATAACCCTCCCATGGGACTAAACCTGGTCCACATGTATGGATACAGAGCTCAGAGGAACCCCTTAGTGGATGAGGGAGATCCTGAGTACTACATACCTCCTCAACCAAGGGGCACTTTGGTATTGTTACACATTTAAAATAAATCCAAATACTGGAAGGATAGCATACTTAAAGGGAAAATGTTCTAAAAAGCTGAAAGAAATAAAAAAGAAACAAAAATGGAGTGGAAAGAAAAATTTCAAGAATGAAGAATGAAAATGGGAAATGTGTAGCCTATAGGCATGGCAGTTAAATATTTTTAAGAATTATTTTGAACAAAATTTGTAGCCGATTAAGCAGTCTTTCTTTACACCAGCAGAACTGGAGTTGCTGGTACTTCTGGATCTCTGGTGAGCCCATTGTACCAACGGGTCATAACTAATCGATTTGGATGAAAGTGATAGCTGGAATGGTTCTGGAAATATTAAGCTTCCATACAAATAGAACTAACTTGAAAGAAAGGGGGAAAAAAAAGAAAAGAAAACAATGAAACTGAGTGTTGGGATGCATAGGAGGGACCAAATAGAAGGAGAATATAGATAATGAAAGGAAACTAAAAATATAGGACAGGAAAAAAGGTAATCAAAAATGTGGTATTGATGAAGGAAAGAAGATAGCATATGGCTACAAATAAAGGAAGCTAAGAAGGAAAAGGAATCAATGAATCAATGAAAAGG